TGTAGAGCAGGATGCAAGTGTTACAACAGTTCCTCTTTCTCCCTCAGATGTCTGCGACAGTCTGCTGAAATCTTGCTCTTCTGCTCTATCTTCCTCAATGATCTGCAATGATCTGCCCCCTAGGCTCTTTACTCGGGGGTTTATATTCTATTTATATTTATATTTATATTTAAATTTATATTCCATTTTCTCCTAAAAATAGACCAATCAAAAGCAGGATTGAAAATGGACCAATCAGGGATGCACTGGAGGAATCGCCAGTGCTTTCCCCTGCTCATTTAGGTCTTTTTGTTACTGGAGCCTCTGGTGAGAGAGGAAAGCTCTCCCCCTTGCTCCAGCCTGCTGGTTTTTGTAAGGCAGAAGAGGCAGGTCCTCTAGTGCTGCTCTACTGGAGCCTTTGGTGGTGGAGGGAAGCTCCCCTGCTTGCTCCAACCTGCCAGTTCCTCTGCTGGCTGCTGCCACAAAGACAGAAGTGGCAGGTCCCCAAGCCCCACTAGGCTGAGCTGGCTGGGGTGCCACTTATCAGGTATCAAGGTCACCCACCTCGGTGTGCTGTCACTGGCTGGCTTCCCCACACTGAGAGCTCTTGCTGTGCTTCCTGTTCACCATTCTGTCTCCAGACAGGGTAGATGTCTACTCATGAAATCCACATTTTCCACCTCTTCTGAGAAGTGAGATGGAAAAGGCCGAGAACGGAAAGGATGACTACAATTTAGTCAGAGGAGGATTTGAATGAGTCTAATTGACAAACTCTAGTGTGAAAGACTGCATACAAGGGACTACTAACTTTGTCTCTGTGATTACTTCTACTCTCTAATTGACATAAATTATGCCTCTGACAAGTGTGTCAAATGGTTACATTGGGGGAAATGCATGGAGGAGACAATTGGTTACAGTGATGAGCACTCAATTTTCATTGCCCTGTTGCTAACAATTAGTTAATAATTGAACATTAATGATAACTTAATTGGCATCAACCTAATAAAGAACAATTATTAACAGTAATCCAAAAGAACTAATCCTAAATCCTCAAAATGTATTCTAATGCCAGCTCTTACAGCCACTGCGAAACTTGGGGAAACTCCTGCTCCTTTAGATCTCATTCCCTGTCCTACGAGATGAAGAGACCCCAGACAATTTGAGGCCTCGAGAGCCCTGTGTCTGAGGTGCTGGCACACAACAGGCCTCCTGACACTGAGTGAAGGACGATGCCCCGGCCCTCAGCTGCCCCTGCTGTTAACACTGCAGTGTGCTTTGCATAGGGGGACACTGTCGCCTACAGGATCTGCAACCTTTGAAGGACAGGCAAGGGCAGAGAGGGGCGCTTGGGAGCTTCGTCCATCAGGACTGACTTTCCAGACTAATCCTTCCTCCTGGCTCTCACTTGACCACTTCTTCCAGCACAGTCAAGACCTCCAGGTGCCAGTGTGGGTGTTGTTTGTCAGACTTCACACAATGGCAGGTGTGTTGGGGTGGGGTGGGGTGTGGGTGGAGGGAACTGCAGGAGGCCACACCAGCAACCTCTGCCCATCTGCCCTTTCCCAGCAAAACAGTCCTTGTGCCTTTCTCTAAATTCCAGGCTGATCTGTGTACAGGCAAAATGCTACCCCGACTTGAGCCTTGTTAGAGGATAACTCAGCACGGGCTGGGAGAGCTGGAGAAGCTCCTGGAATGGAAAGGCTTTAATTGGACAGAAAGGATTTGATTGAACAGAGCACCTTATACCTAAAAGCCAAAATATTTAGAGACGTGTTTATAATATATATGTGAATCTTTTCTATGTCAGGTTTGATTTGTCAGCTCAGTCTTTTTATTTTTTCCGTATGTTTAAGTTAAATTTTTTATGTTTAATTGTTATGGCTACATGATAGTCATGCACCTTTATAGGGTGCATGTGGTGTTTAGATACAGGCATACAATGTGCAATGATCAAATCAGGGTAACTGGACTGTCCGTCACCTCAGGCATTTATCATTTCTTTGTTTCAGAACATTCTAGTTCTGCTCTTTAGTTATTTCTGAGATTACCCTAACTGATTGTTGATGGCTTATTTTTTGTTTTGTTGCCACATACTCCATAGTGATTTTGTTTCATTTTGTGAATGTCTTTTATTTCTTCCAAGGAACTAAAATATTAGTTTTGAAATCTCTTTTAGACATTATAAAAATGCTTTAGTAAATGTATGTTCAAATTTGATTTTTATTGACTAGCCATAAATTTTTGTCCTGCATCTAGAGTTTTTTTGGTAGCCTCATGTCTTTCAGCAACAAGCATGGTTAATATTTATTAAACGCTGAACGTGTACAGACATCGCTCCTGAATTCAGTTTACAAACATGCGATCATTACAACACCCCAGTAATGTAGGTTCCTATCATTATTCTCACTGCGCAGAGTAGAAAACAGGTGCAGGGAAAGCAAGTAACCTTCTCAGGGTCACACCCACAGCTGGCCCTGCAGCCCAGGCTCCCCGCCACTGCACAGACCTGTTTCTCACTGCCACTGCTTACTGAACAGTGTGCATTGATTCCATTGTAATCCTTATAACAACACTAAGGAAGGTTTTATTACCCCCATTTTAGGGATAAGGAAACTGAGGAATAGTAGGTTTGAGTAACTGGCCCAAGGCCATATATCCAGTAACTGGCTGAGCCAGATTTCAACTGATAGGCTATAGTGTCTCCTTTCCCGTAGCAAAAACCCAGCCTGTGATGGCTGAGGCCACAGAACAAGATAAAGGCAAAGCAGTGTGGGCACTAGAAGGCCTTACAGAGGGGGCCAGAAGGGACCCCAGGCCTTGCCTTGCTGGACAGGACGGGGGCACTTGGAGGGCAGGAGGGGTTGAAAACCCTGCTCTTGAGGGCTACACAGGAAGGAGTGAGCGCATGAGCCGTCCTAGAAGAGTCAGGCTCCTGCAAAGATTCTGGACCCCTCCCCCGAGGGCCTGAGCTTTGACTGCCCCACTGCCAGCCCAGTCCTGGCAGTTGACT